CCTGTCTGTGCTCCTGCTCCTGTCCTGTCTGTGCTCCTGCACTCTGAAGATGCCGGTCACAGGTGCTGGCGAAACGTTAGGAAACAAAACTTCCAGAACACGGCCACACAGCCCGGAAGACCCACACCAACCATCGTATGCCGGCCGTGAAAGCCTTCGACAATACATATATATCCTCTCTTTGCCAACAATAGTCTAAGATTCATCTGATCCTTGATGAATTGCAATTATTATAAATTAAGGGAAGATACATGAAGCACTGTAAGTACTTCAACTGCATGTTATAAATGCTGATATTTGTGTTTCATGTACATAATGCTTTATTGCCAATACTCTTGCACAAATTTATTTTAGCCTGGCAGATTATCAGTGATCCATGGGCCAGCATTCTCATTCCATCTGAACCACTGAACTCTTCTCTAAGGCCCTATCAATTTCTTACCCTGCATCCACTCTCATATTGCTCTACATTGCAACGGAATTATATTCTTCTTAGGACTGCTGCATGTGGAGAAATTTAAGCCGTCTCTGTGTCATGTTCAATCCCCAAACAGTAATAAGTATTTTAAAAGAGTTTTCTATCAGGCTAGTTAGAAAATGCCTTCCCCTTATGGTTTGCATTTATACCTAGAGAAATGAGAGAATACGTGCAGATTTAAGTGTATGAAAGGAGGGCTCAGTTAATGGATTTGAATGTGGATACAGTGAGTACAATGAGTTAAAATTATCTACACCCAATGTCTATGTCTCAAAATCAATGTGAAACGGGTGGTTGTGGTAATGATTTTGAAAGGAAGAGGTGGCTTTGGTTTAGCCATGTCAGCTAGGATCATGTCTTATCTCCCAAATTATAATTCCTGGATATATAAACCTAAGAGGGAAAATATTTACCTATTGTTAATGCATTTACAGTGTGATAAAAATAATGCATAAGACAAAAGCAAAAGCAAAACAAACACATTTGATGGCATGGGTGGACAGGGAGAGAAAACAATGGCTGTTGAACTCAGCCAGGCTGATGGACGGAGTCTCACTGCCCTTCCTTCTGATGCAACCACGCTGAATCAAGTGCTATTGCTGCTGGTAGTAGTATTAGTGGGTGATATTAGAACAATATACTATGTGATCAGAAGCTGAGGAAAAACAAAAACGAAATATATGCTTTTTTCTCTCCCCGTTAACTCCAGTGAATTTGATTACACTATAAAAATTCCCAACTCATTTTTCCAGCCCCCATCTTCCCAAACTATTCCTTGCAAAGCACATCTGCTGATGAGCAAAAACTGTTGACAAATCCAAACCTCAAATAATATCTAGTATCTAAAATAATAATTTTACATTATTATTATATAATAATTATTTCATATTATATATATAT